AGGAGATGCTCTCTTACGCTCTGGGGGTCTGCAAACGTTTCTTGAAGATGGACAGGACTGCCTCTGTTCAGGCAGCGTGAGGTCATTACACTATTGTGGAAAGAGCGTGGAGTGAGGTCACTCATCCAACCGGAGTGACCGAGTCATGACATAAGCCTGTGCGAGAGCATTCGAGTAGATGGGTATCGTCCTGTTAAGCACTTTGAGATTAGGAAGAGGGAAGCCAGTCAGAGCTAATGTGAAGATGGATGGACCTAAATACAGGTCAGTGCTGCTTGGAGAGAAAAAAAAAAAATACTGCTAAAGGCGGTCAGGACCTGAGACAGAGGCAGAGGTTTCCTTTTCTACGACATTCAGATGTCAAAGTTCAACATCTATATCCTCCCACCCCCAATATGCTGCCTTATGTTGGGTCTATCTCGTACGTTTTTCAACACACAGAAATCTGTGGTTGCAACGTGATGAAATGTGAAAACATTTGAGGGCCGTGACTATTCCTGCGTAGTCAGTCTTTAAAAAAAAATAGAGAGAGAAATCCACCTAAAAGTGAGCCAAGTGAGCCAGCCGAAATCCCAGTGAGAATCTTCTTGATCACAATCAAATTAATTTGATCAAGCCTCGGCTAGCAGGAGAGTATTTAAAGCCAGACGACATCAAACCGCCACCAAATCTATAATACACCGGCAATCCATTCTGCTGATAAACATGATTCTTTCTGGTTTTCCCTGCAGCTGCACAGTCGTGTTGGAGCGAGGTGCCAGCGCCACGAAGCTCACATCTACAACTTCTGACAGACGGGCACTCCTTCCAACGCAGCTCCTCGCGTCTGCAATGTCGGATGCCAAGTATTTAGTTAAGTGTATCTCTTTCTTTTTGGACTGCTCCTCGAATAACAAGGATATGATTAATAGGCTTCCACTGCTTTTAGAGATCCAACCTTATCCAAGAGAGCAGAGGGAGAGAGAGAAAATAAAAAAAACACCCAAAACTTGGCTTTGGCTCAGAGCATCACTAATTGGATACTTTAGAGATTTACCGAATTAATTTCTACCTCCATTAAAGTTGCATTAATGTTACAACTCGGCCGTAATGAAGATCCTCACGTGAGGAAAAACCTTTACATCACTCCCGCGTCTCGGAGAAACGGCCGGATCGTAATCAACGCGATGCGACGCTCAGTCGCCGACAGGCGTGAACGTAATGATACCTCCAATGGCCTCTGGTGAGTTACAGTAAGAGCAGTAAGGCTGTGCAGGCTTTCTGCAGCTGCTCCTCCCTGTAGGCTCTGCAACGCTAATCCCCGTCTACATGTATGTTCAATGATTTATGGTCATAATAACCCAAAAAGAGGATTAAGCTAATTAAACCGCAGCTCTGTGCTTGTAATGAACACATCGGGAGGGAATACAACACCCCGCATTTATACCACACACACACACACACACACTGAGAGAGAAAGAAAGAAAGAGCTGCAGTGTCTTCAGGGTGTCTGCTTTTTATTTTCCCCAGCAAATGACTCTGCCTTTAAAAGCTAATCTTCGGTTAGCATGACTCGACAGCTGAATCATCTGATTACAGATACTGCAGGCGGCAGTCATGCTTCCAGATGACTAGTAGCTCCATTCTGGATTAATATAATAGAGCTACAGAGGCTGGGGATTTTTTCCCCCTCCCCCTTCCCTCCGTTCCCCCTCAGGTCCTTCAGGTGCAACCATGGAAGTGGAAAAACAGACCTGAAGCCATGCCGTGGTTTTAGGGGTCGCATAAGCATGTAACACGCTGGATTAATGATGCCAAGGTTGCCAGTATTAATACAGTGCATGTCTGCGGGCTGCGTGCTGTGAACCTGGGGAGACTGCTAACACTGGATGATGCCAACTGGAGGACATGAAATGCATTAGACGCCGTAAATTGATGGTGTAGTTAAAGCTAAAGTTGAATAATGCTAGCTTTGTGCTGTGTGTGTGTGTGTGTGTGTGTGTGTGTGTGTGTGTGTGTGTGTGTGTGTGTGTGTGGGCGCCTGGGACCCATGCGGCTGATCTGTGATGGGCTCAGGCTAAGATCAGTGGGTAGCTGAGAACCAGCATGTTACTGGTTAATAGTACTGTAAACAAAAAAAGAAGTGTAGATTCACTGGCTTTCAGCAAGAGTGTCATAAATGTTTGGTTTTTTTAAGGATGCTTTTTTTTTCAGTGCCGAAAGACTTGAATTTGTTGTGGATTTTCTCAAATCCAAAAAAGGTTTAAATNCATTTACATTCAATAATATTTTAACCCTTTCATGCATCACTACAGTGGACAGCTGTCTAAAAGTCATTTTCTTGTGCTTCTTGTGAATTTTTATGTTATAAATACACACAGACCACTGAAGTGGACACTAATGCATCATAAAATACACCATCAACTACTGGCCATCAGCTGCAAATGCAAGAAATTATCTTTGTTAAATCCAATATGGCCGACCGACCCGGGCCCTCCTGCAGGTAAAAAGAATACTGTGACATCAGATAGCCCCTAAAGAACAATACTACTGATGTATTTTTCAAATAACAAATTTGTATTTGGAGAAAATTACAAATGATCACCTAAAAAAATTTAATAAAATTTGCAAAAAAAAATAATGTTCCTACCATTTTTTATGCCTTAAAAAAATAAAAAAAATTGGAAAAAAAAAAACCTGACACAAAGGATGATAATTCATGCATGAAAGGGTTAATAAATGTCTCTTAGCAAGTTGTAGTAAATTTGTTTTCTGCTGCCCACACTGGTTTTGGAGCCATTTCAGAATCTTAAATAGCAGCTTTATCCAGTTTAGGTGTGTTTGGGATTGTTGTTTGAAACTCTCACCAAAGATGGTCTAGAAATGGATGAAACAGTCTAACGTTGAACGTGCGGAGGTCTACGCTCTAAAGCCTGGTCCGTACTGGAAAACCAACCAGCTTCACTGAGCTCCACCAACTCAGCAAAGACGTGGCAAAATTTTCAGCAAGATTTGTGCGAGGAATTTGATAATGGCAACACAAATATCTGGTCCAATTACAACCTGCTAAGAGGATTATACCTATTATCATGGCCCACCAAACAAGAACAGATCAAATGCTTTAATAATAAAGGATACTGACATTCTAAGGATGAGTGTATGATGAGTAAGCCTTTGGTCAACACCATAGAAGGAAAAGCAATTTTAAAAAGCCTCCATTTAGGACTCAGACATGCACTTTTACCAAAACAGTCCACATACTGGGTGCTTCTTGGAATGAAATCTCCATTCTTCTAGAAACTCCTGAACTACAAAATAAAAGAACTGCCTGAAAAAAAAACTAAACATTTTGGACTGAATCTGATGGAGAATCTGTGGAGAGAGTTAAAGTTTGGGCTCCTTCAAACCTCAGAGACATGAGGAGTATGATTACTACAACGCCAATAAAGATTATTTCTCTGATTATTGAGAAAGACAAACAATTTTCATTATTGAAAGATACAGATTTTCTTTCAGAAATCTATCTCTGTTTTCACATTGCAGTGTCTTTTGAGGGATGCCTGTCTCATTTCCTATCAGAAACAAACTTAGTGACTGAATGGAGATAAATTTAATCTGACACTACCAGATATTAATGACTAGGAGAGATATTTCAGAGAAACACAGCCTTTATTTCTATTCTTTTACTTTGAGTTATCCTCTCTCGCGTGTCTTTCTTGTACCAGAGCTCCTCTCCTCATCCTAGGAGCTGGTGGCTTCCTGCCCTGCACACATTAGTCCTGTCTGCTCCGTCTGAGGGTCACTGAGGGGGCAGCAGCAGCAGCAGCAGCTAGAGCCGCACGTCAGAGTCGCTCCAACACAGCTGAATTCGTACAGTCATTTAGTGCCAGCATATCAATCATCAGGTAATTACTGACGTGTCACCTTTTGACCCGGTAGCTGCCGTATCAAAATGGAGATAAATACTCCTGGAGGATCATATGATGTAAATCTCTGTAAGAGGCTCAAACATCTGCTGCTTTTTTTCTCCCTCCCTCTTCCATGGATTTATCCCGCGGTTCCAACACTGGAATGGATTAAAGTTTACGTACAGTACATCTGCCGGACTACTGGGTCACTCGGACATCAGCACCTTGCCTGATGAAGCCGTCGACTCCGTCTGCTGTGGTCTGTTTTTAAAGTCTTCACCTCCGAGGAAAATGTTTACCAAAGAGAATAAGGCCAAACGACAGATGTTTGACGTGTGCATCATGGGAACAGCAATCACCAGTCACTTTATTAGGTTGTTTACAAGTTGGACTCCCTGTTAATTCTTCCTGGAATGGGTTCGTCAAGGTGTGGTAACCATTTCCCAGAGATTTTGATCAATTTCGACTTGGCCTCCCGCCGCTACTGCTTATGTTTCAGCTGCAAGCCAATAATGTGACTCTTTCATTCCACCATATCCCCAAAAGAGCTCTATTAACTTCAGATCCAGTGACTGCGGAGAAGAGTGAACTCATTATATTGATGGAAAAAAAAATGTTTGAGATGATTTGAGTTTTGTGAAATAGTGCACTATCCAGCAGAAAGTAGCCATGAGAGGACGGGTAATCTGTGGTCATAGAGACAGGATTCATGAACATCAACAACACTCTGGTGTTTAAATGATGCTCAACAATTACTAAAGGGCCCAGAATGAGCCAAAAAAACCACAAAAAAAAACAGCATTACACCAACACCACCAAGTCATATTCAACAGCTCTAAATGCTTTGAGCTGCTGACGTGTGACGGACAAATTCTCTACTTGAGTAACGCGCAATCAAGCAAAACAAAATGGATGGTGGATTAAGATAGAAATTTGGAAACATTTCCTAAAATCCTTAAAGATTTTTCTGTGAAACTGGCTAATAAATTCTAAAATAAGTCTCTAATGGTCAATTGGAACAAACGTAGGCATAGAAAATAAAACTCGCCCGTGAATAAAAACTTTGAGCAGAATAATTATCAGCTTTTTTAAAGAAAACATGCAGCCTTTTACCTGTGTGGGTCCTCTGATGTGCCTTCAGATGGGAGCTCTTGGTGTAAACCTTCCTGCAGCCATTAAACTGGCACCGGTGGACTCTCTTCTTGTTCTCAGGAATATCTCCTCCCAGACTTCCTCCGCCTCCCTGCTCGCCGTCGCTCAGCGCTCCTCCTCGGCTCGGCGGGGAAGGCAACGCACGCGCCGCCACCACCTTGGTCGCCCCTAGTCCCACCTTCTTCGCCACCAGCTTAAGCGTTAACGTGCCGTCTGCCGTGGCGGTGAGCGTCTGTGTGGGCTTAAAGAGGTGCCGGCCGAGCTCCGGCGACGACGGCGGCGTCAGGGACGTGACGGCGGCACTGAGCTGTGCGGCGCTGACTCCTCCGACGGCTTGGTCCTTGGTGTCGGTTCCGGCTGCCGCCTGACCCTTGGTTGGACTGGGCACCTGAAGGATTTTGGCCTGCACCTTGGGGAGGGTTACGAGTAACGGCGGGGGGCTCGGCTGGTCAGGGAGGCTGGGCAGGAGCGGGTCCATCAGGTCTTCGTCGCTGTCGCCGCCTTGCATGAAGGCCGGTGTTAGGAGACAGTCCAACTCCTCGTCAAAGAGCTCCGAGAGTCTCTTGGGCTCCGTCTGTAGATACCTCTCCAACTCTAGACATGTCTGCAAAGGGAAAGGGACACCAAAGTCAAAAACCACAATTTCCTTAGCCCGTTATCCCCATTTTCATTCAACTTCTTTCAGACTCAACAGGGTTTCACACAAATCCCCATAACTGGTTAGGCAACTGAACGGTGGGTGAAAGGCCCAGAGACCTTCCAACCAAACGTCCACCTAAACCTTTTATCCACACGACCTTTTACATTACGAAAACAGTTTCCAAAAGTCAACAAAGCCTCGCCTCACACAATCGCTCCGCACATCTGTATACTCACTCACTGGTCTCCCAGTATAATTTAACTTGGATATCGGCTGTAGGCGTTCTATTTCTCTGCAGCTGCTGACCATGTCACCTGGCACACGGCAGTCCTGCGAGAGGAGGGATTTATTCTGTGATTGATTGCCGCTGCCTGGACAAGCTCTCTGGAGCCCTGAACTGTGGAGGCCTTGCCTGTTTCCCTCTGCTCAGCCAAATCAACCAGCCGTGGAAGTTATATGGAGAGATAGAGGAAGTGAGGTGACAGGTGAAGACAAAAGAATAATAAGGAAAAAAACAAAGAAAGAGAAGGAGATAATGAGAAAAAAAAAAAGAAATATGAGTGTTTTTTTTTATTTTTATTGATCCATCTACAAGAACTTTTTAATTTTTTTTCCTGCTACACTTGTAACAGAATCATCACAGTTGTTGGTCTGCTGGCCCTGCAGCGCCTTTCATCAAGGGCACCTGAGTCATTACCTCAAGGAATCGGAGCCAAGAAACCTTCCAGTGACTAACTCAATTTTACAACCCCAAGCCTACGTTCGCCTCTCAAGACTTAAAATGTTGTTTGTTTGTTTGTTTTTGTATTTTGTGCCGTCAGTCACTCCTGAGTTGTACAAGGAGCTGTTTGTTTCAGGATTGTTTCTGCTTTGATTTTTTTATTGTATTTTATTGTCGACATCTACAACAAGTTGCCAGTGTTTGATTCTGGCAAAATGGCTTTCTGCCTGTGGCCACAAAGCCCAGGCGCTGCCACAAGGCAAAGAAGAAACAAAACAAAACAAAACAAATAGTTATTGGACAGTAACAACTGTATTGGATTGTCTGTTGGTAAGTCACAATATATATGTGTCATGCAGTGTAATTACTGTAAGAAAAATGTGTATAAATATTTATATTAATTCATACCATGGTGATGTCTGAGTCATAGCTTATGATTCAACCTGATTACTCCACACTGAGATGAGAGCAATCTACATATTCTGATCAGCTGCTATGTGATCAACGGTATTTTAATCCTCAGTGTTTCTTATAAGATGCATAATTGTTGATGTTGTTTTGTTTTGGGGGTTTTTGCAGAATGGGTTTTGTTGGTGTGGGTACATTTGTTACTAGCAAATGTTGAAGACATTTGCTAGTATTACTGAATTATTGAATATACCAAGTTTAAGAGATGGAGCTAAAGCTTACAGAGATGTTTCACACAGAGCAAACCTGAATCTTATGGTGTAATAATAACTGTAATCCTAATTGGATGGCTGTGGAAGCAAAAACAAGGATTGTTGGAAGATGAGTTCATTTTTATAAACTCATGCACCCAACACACAGGTTTAAAAAAAAAAAAAACTGTAAACGTACTTATATAAGCCGCTGGTATCTCCGCCGCTCTCGGTTTTTCAATGCTGGATCTATTACGGGCGCCATTCCTCCGTTTCCAAACCCAAACCCTGGTTTCGTTCATGCCGAGCTTTTAACCTTCAACTTAAAAGCTGGATCATATGAGTTTGAAGAAATTTCTCTGCCGTGCCTGCTGCTAGCATGTGTTTGTTCTAAAATTAAAATTAGCGCTTTCTTCTTTGATTTCCAATTTTGACTCCCAATGATTAATTTCCTACTAAAGCGCCCCCTGGTGGTTCAAAAAAAATCCACAGAAAAGCCACACCGAGCTTTAAGCCACATGGTTCAAAGCGTGGGAAAAAAGTAGTGGCTTTTAGTCCGAAAAATACGGTACATTATATTATGCGTTGTGCAGATAAAAATGTGGTACATTTAACTGAAAACTATCAGGAATAAAGAACGCTGTAAGCTGAACGACGGCAACAATCCATAGAATCCATGCAACGCCATAAACCTCTCATAAGGCTTTCAGCAAATCCCACCTAAAATGCATCTAAAAGATGGATGTTCTTTTCTATTCAATTGTTTTCATCCCTATCCTAAAACATGTTCTCCTCCTCGGTTCATGTTAATAAATTCTAAAACAGGCGCAATATCAAACTTTCTACTGCTAACGTTCATCCAACAAAAAGCATGATGGATTATGTGCAGCTGAAGGAACAGACCACAAGTCACAGCCTGCTGTAATTTTGGTTTTGTACTCTTAGTGATATTTGTATCTTCTTAGTGATATTTATAACACTCAGCCATCCAGTTCATAATGCAGTTAGCTTTTAAACTTTTCTCAAATGTGTGCTGACCAGTGTTGTGTTCAAGACCACCTAACCCGAGACCAAGACAAGACCAAGACCAGAGTGTATCGAGACCGAGACAAGACCAAGACTTTTGGGGTCCGAGACCAAGTCAAGACCAAGACCGAGGGAAATCGAGACCGAGTCAAGACCAAGACCAGCGCCCCGCAGTACATGATACGATAAAATGTGAAATATGATCAAAATTACTTCTCCAATTGATCTACAAGATCCATATTCCCATAAAAACACCTAGATATTAAATACTTAATAAATTTTACGAATATTAAAAGCAGAACAAACTCTTTGTTCTGCTTTGGTTCCATCTCTGTGCTACAATCAGCGGTGGTCTCGTGCCATCCCTAAAAAGATAACGACCTGGGTGTTTGCCCATATTGCTCATGTCAAAAACCATTAAACATAGCAAAGTTCTCTCTCTGCACCATTAAACATAGCAATGCCCTGACGGTAAATAACGCTAAACTATGAACACTGACCAAGGAGCAACAAGCAAGAAGTAACCAACCACAAGTCGCACAGCGTGACTGTTCTCACCCTCTCTCCCACTACATGAAGCCTGGTAGTCTGATACCATTACAGCTGCCACTTTGAACGAAAACAGTGAAAGAGTAATGTGCATGATCTGCATGCTCTTTCGTTCTTGTGTTCTGTTTATTTGTTAATTAAAAAAATATCAATGTACACAATTAAATAAAATAATGATAGCTACTACAGTGTACACAGAACATTACAAGAACAAAGAACAGTGTTCTGTCAGATCAGCATATGCTGTCAGATCACCGCTTCCCACAAACTCACAGCTATATTTCTCAGACACGTCAATACCATATAATTTTATTTAATCAGCAACATAGAATCATGACGTAGATCATCATACATTTTGTTATTAACATTTGTATGGCATCCTGATTTAGTAGTTAAGTAGGTTAATGAGCTTTACGCAGGCGTGTGTTGTAATTGACTGCAGCTGCAGCCAGACCTTGCTTTAAAAACACTTTGAGACCACGACAACGTATATCTATACAGTTATCATTGAAAACAATTGAATGACTTATTTTCATCATAACTTGTTGTGTATGGTGAACTGACAACTCCTCTGACGGTCGGACTTAATGCCATATGCAGGCATGGCACTCACTGCATGTATGCTATTCTGACGGCGTATGGTATCTGATAGAACAACGGCTCTCAGTGACACTCCAGTCCTATCTAATAAGTAAAAAGCCGTGCAGAAGAATCGGACTGTTCTTGAATGTCACATCACTATATTGCAGACTTTTGGACATAGCGTTGACCCATATTTGCGACAAGTCAGTCAACACCTCCGCACAATAATTCAGCGCAGTGAGTGAACTTTTTTCATCACAATGCTTATGTGTCTCTGTACAGCTAGCTTTGCTAACATCACGTTAACGGAGCTTACCTTCTTTGAGCTACTTTTCTAAGTGACGAAAAAAGTTAGACGTTGTCCCCACCGTCTTTGAAAGCGAAGCGCTGCTGAGTTAGCGGTGGCCATCGGACTTCTTATGATTTATGCAGCGCTATTATATTACTGACGATTAGACAGACATCTTCTGCCGCTGAGAGGAAACCACTGCGCATTTCTGAAAGACTTTCCAATCCATTGTATTAAGGGGTATTGCTGGTTAACTCTTTTGTTTTCTTACCCCTGCAGAACAAATACTTTCATTTCATTATTAGCTGACATTAGTCTAACGTTTCTCAGTTGTTTCTCTATTTGCTTCGGTCAAACAGTCCACATCGCCGCCAACTCAGCACTTTCCCAAAGCCTTGTGTCTCTGCTTGTGTACAGCTGCTCACCACTTCCTTCTTTGTGCCCTCTTGGAAAGTGAACCTCGTCTTTGGCCGAAGGCCACTGGCAGCTGAGGGGTTTTACACCGATGCCTCGGCTTTTTCTGCACCAGTCGCTCAAACAGCTGCTACACCGACATTTTTTCCTGCATTTTCTCTTCTTCGGCTGCAGCTGCATGGCTCCGTCTATTCAGACAGGCCAGTTTTGCAGCTCTGCTTTGCTGGGCTTTTATTGATGAGACAAACCAACATGTTTCATGTTCACGTCTGTCGACTGGCGATAAGCTGAATTTCTTTTTTTTTTCCCTCCCCTTTCTCCTCATTTCTTAAGAATGCTCATTTGCATATGAATGTAAATCAAAAGATATTTCTTAGCAGTGGACACTGGCTCATGAGGATATGTAAACAATGATAAGCGTGCCTGTAACAATGTCTTTTGGAAAATGAATACTAAGGGCGCGAAGCGAGCCTGCTTGGCCTTTTTGTCCAGATAGTTGCTTTGCTTTGTGAGCATTTGTGTTTCTTCCATTAATCTCTGGCTGTTGTACAATATCTAGTCAAGTATGCAATGTGAAGCTATTGTGCTCGTCTTCATATGAGATTGTTTGCTAAGAAAAAGGCTCAGAGTCCAACAGGAGATGATTAATTAGCCGTCAGATTATCTTGAGAGCAAGTTAAACAAGACAAGGCGGGAGTCACAGCAGCATCTTTACGTGTTGGTGGGGATTTACAATAAACACAACGACAAAGCCAAATGAGATTGCTGGAGGTTTACGCGGCAATCCAAAAGTGGTCAAAGTGTAATTTCCTTGTATTTAGTTATTTTACGTGTTCATGAAAAACAGTCCCATTTATTTGCTTACTTACTAATTTTCAATAGCCAGTGTCTCCAGTTATGCTCTTCCACCCTAAAGCAAAAAAATAAATAATAAATAAATCATGCATTCTTCTTAGTGTTTACCTAAATATAACTGCATGAAAAATGTGCAAAATCATGTCTTAAAATTGAGGTGCACTATTGTATCCTTTCAACACCAAACTTAACATCTGGCTTCATGGTTTAGTTGCTAAAAACATAAACTTTACAATGCCACACGAACTGCAGTATTTGCCAGGGCTTCATGATATCAAGAAAATGTGCAATTTTGACATCACTGTGGAATACTGTGACTAAGAAGACTTTGGTTGAAATTGGTGATTTCTTCTAGTAGCTTTTCTGCATGTATGAATGTGAATATGTATCAGATGTGGCCACAAGGGGAGGGAAACGCCAACAAACTGGCCAAATATATAAATGTTATTATATTGTATGAAGTGCATGGGTGCATGGAGCTTGTAACATTGCACTCAAGTGCGCTTGTGGGATTGTGATTTTGCAGACATTGATATCAAGATGATCATGAGTTGGTATATTTTACAGTCGATGTGTTACCCAACTTAACCTTAAAAAGAATTTGCATGATTTAGGTGACTGCTTCTTACTGATCATATGCAAAACATTTCTAGACAACTGAGGCTTTTCTTTTTCTTTTTTTTTTAGGGTGTGGGAAAGTATCAAAAAATGCTGCAGATCTTCTATATAAGTCCTGAACCCTGTGAGTTATTTCTCAAAGAATATTGAACCATCGTTTTAACTCCGAATTGAAAATAAAAATAGAAACACCTTTGTGTGTCCTGGCAGGGGCCTGAATGATGCTTGGGATTTTCGGGGGAGGGTGAGCTGAGGCAGAGGATAGAAGGAGCCTGAGGGGGCGCGAAGAGAAAGAGAGAAAGAGAGAGAGAGAGATCAAATCAAACCCATAGACGGCGGTGAACTGATCGACTCTGACATCACGCGTATGACCTTCTCCTTCGTCTGTTTCTCCTACACACTGTGAATATCAGGTAACAGTGACATGCAGAGCGTATGTGTGTGTGTGTGCGTGTGTGTGCGTGCGTATGCGTGTGTGTTTAGCTGCTGGCCAACAGCTTAGACTGATAGCATGTATAGGGCTCACCTCCTGTTCTGTCCCATAACATATGGAGAAAGGTCAAGTCAAAAAACACACACATGCACCCTCAGTCACATATGGGCAGAAAGTGGATTTCAACACTTTGGATGAAAACACTGAAAACTGATTTACTGACTATAAAAACTGAACAAAACTCCTTCAGAACAAAACCATAAACCTTCCAGACTGCCTCAGTGGCAAAGGACGCTCAGACTGGAAGCCAAATTTAAAAAAAGAAAACAAAAATGAAACACTGTGTACACATGATTTAAGCAGGTTTTGCTGCGACTCGCTCCGTTCATCTGGTTTTTGTTTGACGTAGTGGAACAAACACTGGACTGGAAGGTCGGAGCTCCGGTTTCGCCGGTGTGCAAGTGAGATGTTCCCAAAAGCAGAAGATGCAAAGGCGTTATAAGCCACACAATGGAAAAGTACTCAAATTGAGAGTCAAGTGTATAATTTGATCAGCTTGACTTTAATGGATATCAATTTATTACATGCCTAACTACCATTGAAAATGTATTTTACAATATAAGAAATGTATTGATTTCATTATATATTGTTTCCATAGCTTATTTTTTTCCCGATACTTGAAAAGATTCTGTGTTCTTCCTACATGGAGTTTGTGTGGGTTCTCTCTGGGTACTCCGGCTTCCTCCCACAATCCAACAACATCAATCGGTGGCTCTAACTTGGTGCGAGTGTGCGTCTGTGTTGCCCAGTGATGCACTGGTGACCTGTCCGCTGTGTCCCCCCACCTCTTGCCTAATGACTGCTGGAGATAAACACCAAGACCCCATGTGACCCTGCAAAGGACAAATGAGTATAGACAATTTGCAGGTAATGGCCTATGCTGCTCTGGGTCAGTGCTGAAGTCAGCTGCATGCGTTTCCAAGTCATACATTCTGCGGTACATTTAGATGTAAATCAAAGTAAATTGATGCGTTCAGAAACAGGACGCATCATATTTAACCTGATAAAGAGCAGCAGCATTTGAAAATAGAGGTATTCTATCATCTCTTGGCGCATCTCTTTCCGTTCTCCACATGTGCGTGTTTGATTTAATATTTTATCTAAAATAGCTGCCAGTGACGTGGACGTTCAGTGTGTGTGTGTGTGTGTGTGTGTGTGTGCCTTTGGCCTGCTGAGGTCTATTAATAATGAATGCAGAGAGCACAGGGTTCTGGATGGAAGCGCTAAGAGCTTTTGACAGACAAAGGATGATCGAGGACACAGCTCCACAAACAGACTGAAGTGGATCCAGCAGGAAGACGGGGGCCGGAGGCTCTGGGGGGGCCGTCTGTGTTTACATGCAGTCTGTTATGTGACTATTACCAACATCGCCATTAGGACAATGATGAAATTAAGCCATTTACATGATTCTGCAAAGTGACACTTCCTGTTAAGTGTCGACTTCACATGTGGTTATTGCCACATAAATGCTGCTTGAGCAACACAACATTAAACAGCTTGAAAATGGATTCAGCCGGTCCATAAAAACACCCCAGTTATCAACATGAGCAGTATCATATTAAACTCAATTAGCGGCGTTTTTTTTATTTTTTATTTTTTTTACTAAGTCTTTGTTTGGGGAAAGATTAATTTGTTTGCAAGAACAAGTTTTAGGAGGAGTTGCTTTTTAAACACATAAAAGCAAATGTCTGAGTTAAACACAGGCCTGGCGCATGTTGGGGGTCTGCGGTCACACAGAACCAGTATGAACTGGTATGTCCCAGTACCGAGTATCTTGTTGAGAATAAATAATTCTGTATTTTCCTTCTATCTCTTTTAGCTAATTGCTAAGGAAATGACATGTTAGGAAATGCAAGTGTGAGCTCGGGTTAAAGGAAATGACACACTAGGAAACGCCCTAGGTAGAGGCTAACAGAGGAAGTTACCAAGTGTTACTTGTTGCCATTTTGTCCTGCTAGCTCCTAAAGGTAGCATGAGAAATGGACCAGCTGTATTTTGGTATTAATAAACGGGATTCATGAATTCAACTCTCTGACTCTTCATCAACTTCATAAATCAAGAACTCAGCATGGAGAACGGATTAATTCTCCACACTCTCTAGAAATATAGCACAATGTTTAGATTTAGATACGTCAGATTTTAGCAAAAACACTATTGAGGAAAATATTTGGCACGCTCTTATTCATAACTGTATGTATTTTCTTAATCATCCTCACAATAACTTGCGGGGAAAAAAACATAAAGAACAACACAATACTGAATCATTCACGATCAGCCAGTTGCCTGACTGTGACAGCTGTCACGGTATATTTTATTCAAGTGCAAGAAAGTTTACGAGCTCTGAAAAGTGAAAGCGCCAAGAAAAGTTGCTCAAAAAAGATTCTAGTCAACAAGTGGCGAATGGTGCACGACAGAAACCTGCAGTCCATCTGTGGATATGCTATGTTAAAAAATTGTTACCTATGTTAAGACAGGATACTCCAAGAGTTAAAATTTCCATTTTCTTGAAATACGGAGCATTAGTGTTGACTATTGGACTGCAGAGTAATGTCGCATTGCAGTCCATCTAAAATTAGCATAAAGACGGATCAAGTCACTTTTTTTGGATCAAATCAACCAAATTAAGCATAATCAGGCGTGAAAAGAAAACTCCTGCTCATGTAAGGTTCACAAGAAACGGACAGGATTTCAGAAATATCTGTTTGAAAAATGAGGAACAATATTTTGTCAAAAAACAACATAAAAGTGGAGGCGGCTTCCTCTGTGCTTTTGTAGCAGTGTTCTCAGGCTAGCCAACTTGTCAACGCAGCTGATAAGCTACTTCCTTTCCAACTTCAAAATAAGAGTTTCAAACTTAGATACAGAGTTTCGAGCAATAAATAACTCAGATTTATATACAGAGCTCGTCACAATAGCTTACATCAAAATCAAAGCAAATGGATAGTGCTATGGGAGACATAGGTGAGATTAGGAAATTTGTGATTTATTTTTTTTAAATTTTTGGCAGAAATAAAACCCCAGACGGCAGCTGTGAGGACTGAAACTCACCGTATGTGCTGCCCTGGTCTACCGCCATGCTGTGTGTAAATGTTTTTAATGTCGCGAGAATTCGTCATTTTTAGAAAGATCTCTGGCAAGATGATCTAAAAGATTAAATTAATCAGAGAGCCAAAGTAAGCCTAAAGTATCGAAGAAACCCACAATAACCTCCAAGGATTAAATGTGCTTCTACAAAACTGGTAACTTTTTTTCAATTCATTCGTTTGTTAATGATCAGCATAATAAAAGCTAAAATCACAAAAATAATTTTAATCCAATCTTAGAACCGAACGGCACCATAAGATCAAGGGGGCCGACAACTTTTCCCTACGCCTCTTCTGCATGTTTCTAATAGCGTACACAAACTCTCACTAGTGCAGAAAGCCTCCTTCTACGCTTCTCATCTCATTCACTCCAGTCCTTTCTTTTGCTTCTCTCTTTTTATCTTTCTGTATTAGAATTTGTTTATGCAGCCCCCTCAGCTCCCCCCATGCAGCTTTTAGCTTCAAATTATGTTTTTATCTTTGCCTTTTTTGTTCAAATAGGTCGTAATTAAAGTGCTTTGGCTTCCATAATCTGCTCTTTGAAGCTGTACCTCTTGATGGATCTCGCTCTCTCCATACAGAGGGGCTCTGATGGCTAATTAGCCACTCAAAAGAAAAAGCAAAAAAGGAGTCTCTTTATTCAGTTAATTTGCTGATGCGGTTGCATACACAGAGGGTGTGTATGTTTGTAAGAGTGAGAAGAGCATAATGACTTTTAACTGATGTGTGTGAATATGAGATGCCTCGTGTTCGAGAGCGTGTAGAAAAAAAAAACATCAAACAGAAGCCATTGGCAGCAGCGAGCAGCTGGCTTCGGCGCATTCGAGTCTGGAGCTTCTTGGAGAAGCTGCTTGTGACGACGCTTCTCCAAACAGCTTGAACCTAAAGCGTCGACATGCTTCTGACGTTTATTAGGCTTCCTGGCAGCAAAATGTTTTGTTCCTGATGACTGTAGAGATAAAAGGTGGAAAACATGCACTTATTTTGTCCATTAATTTTTCCCTTTTTGTTGCCAATTTGTGGTCAAATTGCGCCTTTGCCAATTCATGTTTCCGTTTTGCACGTCTAATTGAGTTTTATCCCTCGCTACTTCCATCTACTATTTATTCATGTGCCATTTTCTTAATCGAGGGTGCATTATAAATGGTCAGAAAACTGAACTCAAGAGCATATCATTATCAGAACATTTTGTATTTTACTGTGTTCTCATTTATTTTTGTTCGTTGACTGAAATCGCTAACTTCTGTAAGAAGACAAAAGGCAGAAGGATAAAAAAAGCAACTCCTGCTGACAGATACTGACCAAAGTATAGATTATAGAATATTAGTTGAATCATTGGTTGTTATATTGGGTGTGAAACAGTTGCCCGTTGTGACATTTTGAACAAAACTAACAAATCTGAATTCCACAAAATGGTAAAAGGATCAAAAGGAACAACATCCACTATAACTTCTACTTTAGTTGAAATAATATTAATTATGACACTTCCTGAGTGTTAAAGTTTCGTGTTTTAGAAAAGATAAACCAATTCACAGACGTGTGCTTGAACAATAATGAAACTGATTTAATAAAGTTTTGAAATTAAATCTTAAAATATTTTCATCTTAAAATCTGTTCAGTTAAACTGAAACTTGTATTTGTGAATAACCTAGATTTATGACTGGCTCTTTAACACTGGTGACAGAAACCTAATGGCAGCACAAGCTTCTTCAGCGAGTGAGAAGGAGAACAGGCACAAGGGGAGAGACAGAGGAGAGCACAAAGCTTCATGTAAAGTGAGAGTCAAACCCATTAGAGTGAGCTAAAGAAAAGGTAGCAGTACACAGAAGTATTACTT